TGGATGATTTGGTGTTAGTCCATTTTCCTCTGGTATGTGGTTTATCTAAAGGGCTCTTTACTCAATAGAAAGGATTGTATAAAATGTTGCAACAAGTTAGACCGCAACTTTATGAGATTTAGCATGATATTTAGCAAGACAATCCTCTGAAAATTGTGCATGTGTAGTGGTTAAAATGCTTCATACAAAGTGTAGCGCACCTAAATTTGGAGCTGAACTCCAAGCCCGTTGCGCTACAAAACAAGGGTCTGGTACAATCCCACGAGCACCAACTCCCCGTATCCAGCACTTGCATGCAAAATGGTGTCAAATAGAGTTTAGCACAATTTTGGCATGCCGGTGGACTAACACGAAGAGGATAATACCCCACCGACTAAAGTAGCGTGGAGCTTGGGCTTAGACCCAAGCCAAACACAGAGCAAGAAGTGACACAGCCTAGCGGAAGCCAAACTAATGTCTTAGGTGGTCGGACATGCATTCCAACCACTATCTTTACTATACATTTGACTATAGTGATAGTATATCCAAATCTCATCCCATGATCACATGCGTTACACTCACCCCCCCTTTCAAAGATGTCAATGTCCTAATTGACTATTGACTAACAACCTCTACTGAACCAAGGGGAATCAACACCTCCATTTCCGCATTGAATTTACTAATCCTTCCATTGTGTAAACCAACTATTCTATGTAAGGCAACTAATCATCCACCCATACCGCATTCCCACAATGAATACCTTCATCTGTGGATACTCCACACAAAAGGAAAGACGTACACATGGATGCATAATATGTACGATTTCAAATGTAAGGGTAGGAATATAACTTGCTCAAAGGTATATTATATTTTTAAGTAACCACCAATCAATGGGAATCGAACCCGTGCCATTTCCTCTTATACTAAATGTAGCGCATCTGAATTTAGAGCCGAATTCCAACCCAGTTGCACTACGAAACGAGGGTCTAGTACAATCCCATGAGCACCAGCTCCCCGTATCCAGCACTTGCACGCAAAATGGTGTCAGACAAAGTCTGGCACAATTTTGGCATGCTGGTGGCCTAATGCGAGAAGGAAGGTACCCCACCAACTAGAGCAATGTGGAACTTGGGCTTAGACCCAAGCTGGACGCAGAACAAGGAGCGACACAACCCAGCAGAAGCCAAATTAATGTTTCAAATGGTTGGACATGCATTTCAACCACTTTCCCTACTATACATTTGGAACCCCCAAGGTTCCAAGGATCCACGGTGACAGTATATCTAAATCTCATCTAATGATCACATGTGCTACACAAAGGGCCCAGCCTATGCTAGAGAGAACCTTGACAGTCTTCCATCTTTTTGAGAGGAGGGGATGATGTAAGATCTAAGTGTATGGCTATAATGCCGTATACTAATATTAGTACAGTAGGATTTTAATGGTTGTTGAATTAGTTTCAATCTGAACCACTCACTTTTTCAGCTAATTAATATATGGATTTTCTATATTCTCTTTCAATATTTCATGCACTCACATAAGTTTTAATTTCATTAAAAAGTATATGTAATATAGTAAAGATGAAAGTTAGGGAAGGCAAACCTTTCCATTATAGCAGCATATTGAGTTTAACTCATTTTCAAATGTAATACACTGCAAAAACACATATGGATGACATACTTCTAATACTTATCATATGTATTATATGGTCATTGTAAATTTCTTTATATGCTATTTGTATAAATGTTTTATTACCATTTTCAAGGTCTATATTTGTATGAGCTTCATCAGCATGCTCTATGTTTGTATTAGCATTGTCCTTGAAAGCAATAGCATAGCTTGCATTGTTCGCTACACAGCTGCCTCCTTCAGCCTTTATCTTGTCCAGAAACTTGAGAGGCTTGGCAGCTCAAGAAGAAGGCAAGGAGCTCAATGGGAAGTTTGTCAAAGTTTTGGTTCTTAATGCTTGAGTTGTGAGAGGTGGATGGGGTTTGCAAGCTATGGCTTTGAGAACTCACCTTGAGTTTGTTCTCTCTTGTGGACAGGGACTGTAGTCGAACTCTTCGATGGTTCTGGCCACACTCTAGCTCCACTGCTCAATGGCATTCACAAATCCAAATAAACACATGTCAAATTCATATATCACCTTGCTAGAGCCAATGAGCACCAAAGCTATGGTGCTCTCCCACTGGCCAAAACTAACATCAGGAATTTTTTTCCCACTTCCATGCAACTGGGCCTAACATATTGTAGATGATCACAACCGTTGGATTAGATTCATATTCAAACAAATATTCTAATACGAATATACTATGAATAAAATCTGATTGAGTTATAAAAGACACTGCAACTTCGCGAAATGGCACAAGCGTGACCTCATGGCAATGCACGATCCAAGCAGTAAGGCTTGATCCTCGAAGAAATTCGACTCCATTCAGTTTCTTGTGATTGATCATAGCTTGTGCTCTGGGTTGTGCTCGTCGGCAGCCAAATTCACCATCTCCAATGCCGAGTTTACAATGCTTCTGGTTGTGGGCGCTACCAGTCAGGTAGCTCATCCAGAAGCTCCAGCTGCGAGGATACAAAGTTAAGGTAAACCTCCTCTCAGCATTTGCCTGTAATGGGCAAATGTTTGAGGCATTCTGTTTTTGTGAAGGCTTAAGTACGGAATGATGATTCCGAGACTTTAGACCACTCAATCCTTGACACTCAACTGCATAAGACGCCATCATGTCTTGGAACCACATAGTTGAAGTCCCAAGTTCATCAAAAAAGAATGTCGCTAGCCTGGTCGTTGTGGGCGATTTGAGATGTTGAAAGCAGCAGTCGAAGGTCACAACAAGAACAAGATTATCTGCTGGATCATATTTCCTGCTCGTTTACAACAAGGGCAAAATCTATCAACAGCATTCTAGGCAGCGGCTGATTCCAGTATATAGTCTTTGAGTATGGTTTGGTTTCTAAGATTGAATACAATGTTGTTGACGCTGGTAATCGCAGCAGAGAGTTCTGGATCTAGTGCGGGACCGTCAGTTTCGCGAGTGGCTCTGGTGTTGAAGTGGCAGCTTCAGTAGGATGTAGTAGTTCGCCAGCTGGCAAAGCGACGCTGGTATTCATTGTAACTTCGCCAGGATCATCACCATCAACACCGACTTCTGGAGAATCCACACTAGCATCGTCGTTGTCTGGATCATCTACTCCAACGCCATCATCCGCTTCGACTGGATCAAGCACGCCAGGCCAAACTTTGAGCTCGTCCCCTTAGACTGGATCAAGCTCAGCTCTACCTGGCACTGGAACTTATGGCACGAGCTACTTGGGTGGAGATGTTGGCTCGCCTGCGAATGGTTAGGGACTCAGATTTCATTCGTTTGTCACTCAATGAGCACCTGTAGCATATTCGTATTAAGGGTCTTTTGTCTCAGAGATTTTGATGTTTATCTAATCCAACGAATAGGATGGACTGTGATCAACAGTTGTGGTCAAGTACATAATTTCATCGCCCTTAACAGGATACCTAAATTATTTTCATCTCTCTGGTAGTAAATATGAAGAGAAAAATGAGAGGCATGCTGGTTAAGGACATCCACCGTCTCAAAGACTACCCAGTCTTTGATTCACGGGTATCACAGCAGGTTGTTACGTTTGGGAGCGTGGAGGAGCTCATGGCCTTCTTGCAACAGCAGCATCCGCTCTGCCCACTCGGCTGCGATCCCTCGGCACTCACCAAGTTTGACTATTTCAAAAACCACATGCTGATCCAAGTGTGCTACAAGTGCACGGTGTGCAAACGGCACTTCACCCTGGGTGGAACAACATGAGCGAAACGAGCCAAGAAGGAAGATGGCGGTCGTCCAAGAAAGAAACCCAAGAAGGAGCAGCAGCAGAAGAAGTCAAGGGGGCAGTGTCTTCCTTGCGCGATAGAGGTGGGTCAATGCCCTAGTCAGCGCCGGGATCAATCGTTGCCAGTCAACGCCTGTGACCTCGAGGGATACGTGCAAGGCGAGGAGATTTTCCAGGAGGTTTAGAAATTGAAAATGGATTTGGAGGACAAGGGCCCTTCCGTGGAGGATGAGGAGAACTTTCTCAGGGATTTCAAAGTTGATGACGGTGATGATCTAGATTTACTACTGGGTCTTGACCCACAGGGCCAAGGCACTCGATCCGATTTGGGTGAGGAGCAAGACGATTTTGTCATGGAGTTGGAGTAGCAAATGGAGGAATTTCCAGTAGATGAGGAGAGTTATTGTGCCATGGAGTTGGAGTGGGGAATTGAGAAAACATCTACAGTGGCAAAAAAGTAAGTAATGATCGTTTGGAGGGATGAGGTTTGCAAGATTCAGAATCAAAACAATCTTATATTCACCACAAATCACATTAGTTTTAAAAATGCCCAAACTCACATATGCTGATCGATCAGCAAAAATGGACAATAAAAGAACATCTTTGTAAGAATCAGCTCCTAAAGAGAAAAAAGAAAAAAACATCGTTCTCATGGACAGCATTGTTTTTACAATATGCTTTATTACTTTTGCATCACTTCCATAAAGGTTTGAATAAACCATAGATAAATTTCAGTTTAAGCCAGACAAAAAGGTCGATCACTTGTCAAACGGCTTGGGAGGCTGATTATGTAGACTCGAATCCAATCCCTTTGCACACAATGGTCCCGTTGTTCTTGTTCAGGAGAGCACAGTTCGTGTACTTGATCGTGCAGCAATTATCACAGCGATCGACAATCACCGCGCCGCCACACTTGACAAGAGTGTCCGTTACGCAAAACAGGGGGCACCGGCTGCCTCGACCCTTGCAAGCCACGCTTCCGTTCCTGTAGTGCAGCGAGCAGTCGCTGTGCAGCAGTTCTGGCACTGATCGTAGCTGACGAACGTCGGGCAATCGAGATAAATCCCAGCGAAACACTCCTTTGGTGCAAGCAACGCCTTGCGCAACTGCAAATCCACAAGTCTAAGCGCGAGAAAGAAAGAGAGAACTAAGAAAACTTCCAAATGCCTGTCCTGTGATAAAAAAAGGGAGTTTTAAATTAGCAGATGCTGTAAATACAAAAGATAATTTGTATCTGAGATTAGAAGCAAGAGGCCAAATCCTGCTGGGGTCTTCATACTGTGTCGATGCGAGCAGCGCTTTCTTCCGCTGGAGGGGTCTTTCCAGCTTGGATTCCTTGAGCAAATTTGCCAAAGCGTCTCCAAGAAATTATTTCCCATCTGTCATCGCAAATTTCAGATAATTTAAGAGGTTGGTGTTACCAAATTCGTACAGTTCTTGCTCAACTGAAACACCAAGGCAGCAAGGCATAATGCGGTGTAGTTTAAAAGAGATATAAAATGCGAAATGTTAGGTAAAGTCCTCTTCGTCATCACTCCCCTGAAGTGCCTGCACAACAATAATCATCGAACAACGATCAACGAAAATGCAGCATACCTGGCGAATTGCACTAGCTTTCTCCAGGATCGTCGCGACGTTGACGCTGGACGTTGCTGGGCAAGGAGTCTCAGTTTTCTCCTTCTCCTGCTGGGCAGCGTGCTTTAGATTGAAAGACTGGAACAAAACATGCTCATTGTCACAATTCTTTCACTCATGATATGAATTCTTACCCTCGAGCGTATTTGCTCCAGTAAGACCTCACGACTGCCAAACGATTTCGCCCGAGGATCACTGGTCACCTTTCTCAGCTGAAAAATAAGTTTGCAATTTTCAGAAGTTCAAAAGTAAAAAACACTTACCGTATCCTTGTCATGAGAAACAATGGAATCCATTAGTATGTCATGGTGCTGGTGGCCAACGGGAGCTCCTTGGCCCTGCAAATCTTCTGGCGCTGGTGACGACGAAACGTCCCCGGGAACAAGCGTCTTCGCAACTCTCCATTTGCTCGGAGGCAGCGGAGGAGGAGGTGGTGCCTCATCGGGAAAACTTGCTGCTTCCGAAGGTGAGCTCGGCCTGAAGGGCATGGTCCAAACCTCCCGTTCCTTCGTTGCGTTTCTTCCAATCCCCACTACAGGAGAGTCCAGCACACTGAATATTTGCTGCGACGAGTACGACTCTTCAGATAGATCCGACAGGGATGGCGACGCGGATGGCGATGAAATCTCGGAAGGTGACGTGCTGGAGTAGAAAGAAAGCTCGGTCGCTCCTTGAACATTGAAGGGACTACGTTGCGGCAGATCCTCTTGGATAAAGTCTTTTGGTGGCGTCGCTCTAGCCTCCTGTTTAACTGAAAAAGCAGCTTCCTGATTTGACCCACTGGATGTTCGGCTGGACGTACTGCACCTGGCCTTTTCATTTTCTATTTCTGCATCCGGCTCTATGCTCGTGAGAGCATCAACGAAGTGCTCTGCACCGTCGACAAAATCACTGTCGGTCGCTGACGTCGTATGCCTCGTCCTCTTCTGGAGTAGAGAGTTTTCTTCTATTTCCTTGGCGCTGATCCGAAGCGTTTCCACTTTCAACGCACGTAGTTCCGTGTCGGTATCATCAGCTTCCAGATAGGGGTCCGAGAATGCATCCACACTGTGGATGAACTTTGAGGCTTCTATGAAACTAATGCAAGCCAAACAGTTGATACTTTTTCGATAAACAAAACGTACCTGAGCTTAGCTTCCGGGGTGATACTTTGTCGGGTATCATGAACACCACTAGTTTCACGTTTCTGCAAAATTCCGTCAATTACGCTACAGCAACTCATTAGACGCGACTTACTTTCCCTCTTTCTCTGACGCGCCGCCCAGTCTGGAGCCTCTCCGCCTTTAACAGCTCCGAATTCGCCCATTTAATTCGGAAGAAGGAAGGGTCCGTATATCTCCTCAGCGTAGCTCCAGCTCCGGCAACGTCAAAACTACAGACAAAAATCAACTAATACAAACTGCAAAAGAATCCAGATTGCCTACTTGTCCAAGAGAAAGAAGCGCGGGGGTTCTCTACAGTCATCATACGACTGCTGGAGGAAGCGGGGAAGCTCCGGCTGAGAGAAGTGATTCTGCTTCACGAAAATGGTTGGATGCCACTGAAAACCTGCTTGAGAACCAAAAAAAACAAAAAAAAGAATTTATCACAAAGCAAAAGCAAAGGAAAGCAAAAGGAATACCTTCTGTAAAGGCATAGCTCAGCTGATCAGACTCGCAATAGACGGTCTCTTCCAATGTAGTTAGCTCGGCTTCGAGCCTTCCCACTCGCCGAGCGATTTGTTTCCCTCTCGAGGATAACGCCACGACCTCTTGATGCAAGTCGTTGAAAATCTCCGCGGCGAGCCTGACACACACGCATAGACAAGAGTAAAGACAAGAGAATGAGACCAAAAGAGAAGAAAAAAACATACAACACTCACTCTGCCACTTCTCCAAGCTGTCGCACGATCCCAGCCAGTGCCGCCATTGTGATGCTCTCGAACAGCGCCTCGGCATCGTTCTTGGGGACGGCCTTGTACAGCTCGGGATTCGCAAAACAGTACTCGCTCTGGAGCTCGTACCTTGCCAAAGGCATCCCAGGAGCGATATTGCGGCGGCGATCGACCAAATCACCCGCAGCGCTCACGAGCCGATCGCCAGAAATCCAATGCAGGCCGAGATCAGGCGGGCGGCGCACAAGTAGGAGGAAGAAGAAAGAAAATTTCCCGAGGATCGAGGAGTGAGAACCTGCATTAATCCCGCGCGCTCACACCGCGGCGCCTACATGCATTCCAGCCGCGGCATGACAAAGAGGAACCCTAGCCGCGCGCGAGGAACGCTCCCCTTCCCCTCTATCGAAAAGATAGCCGGCTGCTCACAATACACTCGCCATAGCTGAGACTCCCGGGATGCACGGCCCATCGTCCGCCACGTCACACGTCGATGGACGTGGCGCCATCGCGGGCGTCCAAGATCCTCGCTGACCGGTTTCTCACACCAATGGCGGGGCGCTCTAAAATCCACATTACATGGCACTAGTACGGCGGGAAGTGACAGACGCAATGATCCACGCCAGAGAAGCTTTTCTCTCTCCTCCAAAATACACTTGTACGGCGGGTCAACCTTTTCACTTCCCGCCACCGCCATGGCCCAAATGTTTTCTGTACGGTATGTCAAAACTAAAGTAGATATTTGTCCTGATGTTATAGTTGTCATACGCATTGTCTTTAGACCTTGACCTGAATGGAAAGAATCAATATCGAAAGAGCCTAACTTGTGTAGGAAACTTAGAGCATCACCTTCTAACTTGTTCTTTCTCACAGCTTGTTTTAGAACTTAAGATCGAATGGACATTATCTCTAACTTCGCTACAACCCCCTAGAGTTCGTCTCGAGCTATAATCAGATCATTAGAACCTTCAAAACCAAGAGTAAACCATGTAAGTGCAACTTGCTCATAACAGATTAGAGCTTTAGCACTAAAGTTGCACTAAGAATTTAGAGATTACCTCTAACCTTCTCGCTATAATCCGATCCCTCTCCCCCAAGATGTTGATTTCTTCTAGAGTTCTCTCCAGCTATAATCATAGCATTGGAACCTTCAAAACCAAGAGTAGAACATACTGGGATCAAGTTCCCAAAACACATGTCAACTCACAACAATCAACCATGAAAGTAATAAGAATGTCTGTAACTTCAGTCAGGCTACCTGAATACACTCGATTAAGAAACAACTGTGAACAAAGATTCGACAGCTTGTAACACAGATTAGAGCCGTAGAAGCTCATAGTTTTTCCCATAAGCAGCAGCAGGCAAAACCGATTTAGAACCGTTTGGAATCCAGACACATCTTACCTTCTTGATCCCATGATCAATCACGTCGCCAGCCAAATCACTATGTACACCTGAAAAGCTTCATCTGCATTCATGAACAAAGCATATAACAAAGTTCCAGGAGAAAAGAAAGGTTGCATCATATTGCATTAGCAGCCCGGGTTGGAGCAGCTCTTACAAAACTCAATCATTCCAAAACAGAAACAGGAGACAAGGAGATCACAAAACAAGAAAGTGGTAATGCCATGGAAGGTGAGAGAGATGGAGTCAGCCATGACTGAGTGAGTGGGTAAATGCAAGTAAGAAGTGAACTTAGTAAGCAAGCAAGCATGGTAAACTTCAGTGGCATGATCAGCAGTAGTTGTAATAGTAGCAGTAGTAGCAGTAGTAGCAGTAGCAATGGAGTTGGGTAAGGATGACTCAGCCAGCACGAGGATATGGAAGGATGGAGCTTCTAGCGATTGAAAGGATATGGTGGATGGATCAAACTCGATCAGTCGTAATGCCCGGCGGGGTGGAGCTGCTTGAGCAGGCCAACATAGGTGAGGTAGAGCACCCGATCCTTGGCTCCGGTGCGGTGGCGGCGCGTGTGCTTGCAGAAGTACTTGAGCTGGTCCAGCGTGCACAGGCCGAGCGTCTGCGTGAGCAGCAAGAACAGCCAGTTGATGTGCCGCTTCTTGGCGTGGATGACGGGCTTGACGCAGTCGGTCTGGAGGCAAAGCGAGCAGTCGAGGAGGCGCGGCGACGTCCAGCACTTGGGCGCGCGATCGTGCATGGTGTCGCGGTGGGTCACGAAGTAGTTGCTCACCGCCGCGAAGCCCGCCGCCACCCCGACCTCGACGCTGCCCGGGCCGTCGCACCGCTTGCACATCACGTCCCCGGCCACCTTGTCGATCCCCGCCGCCTGCAGGGTGTCAAGGGAGAGCACCACCGCGCGCCGCTCGCTCGCCCACGCGTACGCCGGCACGATGATATCTCCCTTCCCGCTGCTGCCACCGCCGTGGTGGTGACTGGATCGCTGCGGCGGGGGGGGCTCCTTGCTCGCCGCCACCGCCGCCGAGGCGGCTTGATCGCTGGAGGAGGACGACGCCGATCCCGAGCGGAGCTGGCGGCGGGCCTTCTTCGATTCCTCGCTGGGCGCCTCCGGGCGCTCGTGATGGAGATGAGCGGCGGGCGCGCGCGACGCCGCCGGTGCCGCCGCCACGCCGCCGCCTCCACCCGGTGGCGACAGCGTCAATCGCAGCTGGGCCTCTTCCTCGTCGATACCTGGCAGCATTGCACTTGTAAGGATTCTTTTTTTCTTTTACTTGCAAAGCCTCGCTATAAACTCAAGCACTACAGAATCTTCTTCTTCCTCCTGGCCTTCCTCGCACAGCTCTGGCTATGGAGCCATGGAGGAGCCACAGGCAAAAAAAAAAAAAATCGCAGCCAGGGAAAGACAACACAGAAAAAAGGAGGGAGGCGGTCGGTAGGTGAAAGAGCTTCCCCGATTTATGCCTTAATTTCCTCAAGTAACTGGGACGGTATATTCCACCGCCTGTGGTGGTATATTCGGTGAAGACAACCCCTTTTTTTTCTTGTAACCATTTTTTTCTGTGCTGTGGACCTTGTATTTTTTAAGGATTTTTTTTCGTTTTCTTGTAACAAATCGGCAACAACAACCCAACAACAAGCAAACGGGCCCTCCTCCCCATATTAAATACTTTTCTCTGTGGTTTTATATGTGTTTTTATGTTTTTTTTTGGGATGATTTGGTGTCGTCTTATGCGAATGGATTGCCTGACGAGGACGATGATGGTGTTGTTGTTGTTGGATGGTGCTGCTGGAACACTGGAGGAATTTGCCTGTTAGAGGTTTACACGAACACCACATCACTTTTGAGTGCCAGCTCCTGTAAAGAGAGAGCATCCTAAAAAAAAAATGAAGAGTAACGCTTACATGGTAACTTGAGTGGCCTCCCAATGATAATCTGTGATGTCAACCGGTTTAATCAAGGTTAATTTCTGTTTTTTTTGTCTCTCCAGGTTCTTACTTGGATGGTAAAAATTTGGAGGGACTTGTACATGTGTAGTTCCTAGAGGGGCATACTGCAAAAACATTTCAAGTTTAGAGTTTTTGCAAATAATTGTTCCCCTTTTACCTGACTTTGGGAGTGGTCAAAAGGATTGACACTGGTTGACACTCCAAAGTAGCCCAGACTTTGATTCTGGAGAGAAGAAACAAAAGAGAGGTCATGCAAGAAAGTCTGCGTATAAAAATACTACCGATGGAGGTCCGAAAGTGTTCACGTGATGAACAGCTCCCTGTAACAATAAAAGAGATCGTATGTGAGAGAAATGCGTAGTCTCTTAGATCACTCACTTGTACTCCAACGTTCATGGCTGCTGGATCAAACTGCTGGAAAGTCATCAAAGCAGAATTCGATAGAAAGCCACCCGAAGAAGAAATCGATGGCGACGGCGCCGCTGGTAGAAAGCCAACTGAAGGTGGCATGGTAAAATTCGGTGAAATTCCTGGAAAGCTCGACGGGTACTGCGGGGGAGCACCCGGTAAAACTCCCTGTGAAACTTCTGATGGAATGGACTGTGGAAGATTGGCTGGTCCAGGAGCGCTAAAACTCGTGAAATTCGTGCCTGTTTGAGCTTGAACTGGTCCACTACGTGCAAAAGGATCAGCAGCCAGATCAAGACCCGCGAAACTCGTTGTCACGAAAGGATCCACCTGCGTCGGCTGCGAGGAATCTCCCTCCGGAGAAGAGATGAGATCGATCAGGTCGCGGCTGCCATCGGTGTCGTGTCGAAACTTTGTACTGGCGACACTCTCGTGGTTGCTTGCGTCGCCGGAGATGAGATCGACCAGACACGGTGTGGAGCTTGACTTGGTTGTCACTGGCGAGCTTCTAGAGTGTGGTACCTTTTGCTGCTGGTCGGTATTAAGATCGATCAGACTTCTCGACTTTGTCGCGGATCGTGGTGGCGTCTTTGGATTGTCTGGCCGGTGGGAAGTTTTCTCGTCAGTCATGAGATCTTTGAGAGAGAGCGAGTTTGAGCGCTGGACTTGTGGAGGTCGAGCTGCGGGACTGGTTTGGTCCGGTACTATGCTCCCGCTAGAGTAGTTTCTTTGCAGCTGCTGGTCCTTGCGTTTCTCCACCTGGAACGAAAAAGAACCGAGGATCAAAAGGCAAAACCAAGAAGAAACTAGCGAATGTTTCTTACTGGAGGTTGTAGAAACTGGCGAATGACCGTTTCCCTCTTACTCCCACTGGCTGTTTTCTGGTTTGGAGGCGACTGGGGCGAAGATTTCACGTCGTCTTCACCGTTGTCTTCCACAGTCGCACCCCCGTTTTCTCTTCTTCCGGGGATTGTTCTCACAAAGTCTCGGTTACCGTACGCGAGTCCGCCGTAGCTCGTACGAGGAGAGGGGCGAGCCTCGCGATATTCAGGAGTTTCATGCATTGGACTACGACTGGGCTGCTGGAAAAGAAAAAAAAAAAAAAAACAGAAAGAGAATGGAAGGGAAGAAGAACTTTCGGTCATGTTTAACATTGGCTGTATAGTTATACCTTTTCTCCAGTGAAACGCCTCTGGACGTACACAAGCTTTATAAACTCGCGGATTTTATCGGGATTGCTGATGAGAAACGAAAAAAAATCATTTTGCTCTCCTAAAAACACGTCAAGGATCTAAGTACCTGCTGTCTGGGAATATGTTCCTGTCCGAGTTCCATGCCTTGAGGAAAACCTGTCGAGCTTGCTACACGAACAAGTGAAAAACGCTGTGAATCTAATTTGCTGCTACTGTAAATTTAGATACATACATCGTTTCCACCGGCCTGGAGCTCGCTGATTTCCCCGGCAGTAAACTTGGCCATGGAAATAGACTTGATGCGATGCAAGAATTCTCGACTGTAAGTACGAGTGAGAAACTGGAAACGAGAAAAGATCGAAGAGAGGGAACGAATAAACATACTGAATCCCGCTGCAAAGTGTGCAAATGAAAGTGGAGAAGCTAGTGCACACATATTGCGGTCCCTGCTTAAGAGAAAAAAAGATAAATTCTCAAGAAAGAGGGGATAAGACCCAAGAATCGTTGTCATACCAGGCTACCACAGTTGACGCATCTTCGATTTCCAGGCAATTTAAGCAGCCCGCGGATGATCTTCTCGTGTCTCTCGTCCTCTTTGCTGGGAGCCATCACACATCCTGCTGGATCTCTAGCTAGAGAATCTAGGCTGGAATTGCATCGCCAATCATGGACAGCATAATCTCTACCCACCTGGACGCAATGCGGGCTAAGGCTTGCTGGGAGCGCCCGACTCAGATCTGGACTGTAACAAAGAGAAAATGAGTATCCAACAGAATATACATGTGTTTAATAAAATTTAAATCAAACCAAACCCTTAAACACAGGAGTAAAGGAACAAAGGGGTAAAGCCAAACTCTCCTTTCTTCCTCCTCTCACCTAAGGACTTTCTGCTTGTTATTGCTTGTTATTGGCCGCTCCCAGCTCTCCTCTTGCAGCAATTGTTGCCCATCAAGCCACCTTGCGTCGCTGATGCTCTGTGCAGCAGCCCCGTTGATTTTTGGGAGACACAGTCCCGTTGATTCTATGGGTCTCCCAGCTCTCCAACTGCTTTAGAACTGGTCACCAGTACTCTGCCTGGCTCCTCCTTGCGCTAGGGCCTTTAGTGACAACTGTTGTACATGATCTGCCTAACTCGCCTACAAAGGTGGCAAGATTCTCCATGTGCCAATTCTTTGCCACTCTGATTTGCTCACACTCAGGAACATTGTGTCTTTACAACCAATTGTGAGACTCCCAAAGATTCCCTCCCTACAACTCCACAAAGCATGGCTGAGTTTTGAGCTCCTCACTGAGCACTCTAGATCTTCTCAACACAATTGGACCGCAACAATAAAGCTTGGGAACACCATTAAGGTTCTCAACCTTTCAAGTCGGAACTTTTAGTCCAAATGTGTTACGCTCGTTTGGCTTTCGCTGCAGCCACTACCACATGGCACCCTTTCGGCTCTACATTGAGGCCTAGGGATTTTGTGTCTCACAACATGCTAGCCCTATGAATGACATGTATGCCACTCAGCCTTTGCATTGAGTCCAAGTGCTCCACATGTTTAATCCCATGATAAACACCCCAAAGGTACCATTCATTACATTAAAGTTATATTTATTTACCCTTGTCTCATTGGTAATTCAATAGATCACACGTACCCTAGTTCTATCTCTCAAAGACTGAGCCATCTGTTTATGAGTGATCATTCCATGACCACACTTTAACATCTTTAAGATGCTTAAAGACATAAAAAACACTCTTCTTTAATACTTCTTCAATATGTCCTATTTTAGTCATAGTAATATTTAATAACATTGTTATTGAATTAAAGCCTGAAGGTTGACCATTAAGTCCCATTGATCTCTGGGACTTCTTCACCACATAATTATGCCTTTGGTCATTATGCAAAAGGATTATTTTTTTTCTTTTCTATAGTTCGGGACTTTGGAAGAACATTTCCAAACACTGTGGCTTTACACGAGCCTCATGAATACTCTTCCCACCTTCCATCAAAATAACTAGTTTATATAATTACCTCTTTTTTAGTTGGCAAATGAAGTTATTCCAAACAATTGCCCTTTTCCTAGTTTGACAATTGAAATAAGAGTGCAAGTGTTTATATTTAATCCAATGGTTATTAAAATCCCACTACATTAATATTAATATTGCATCATAGCCGTACACTTAGACTTCACAATCTCATAACTTGAAATGGATGTTTTAGTGATAAAGATAATATAAGCTATTAGCCTCATATAAATATAAAACACAAATAAAAAAAGGTCTAAATTACATGAGATACATGAATTTAAGTTTTTTCATATAAATCATTTAACTATATTAAACTAGTGCTATATAAATAACTATCATGAATAGACCATATGCAAGCTCACTATTAAATGTTTAATAATTAATATAAAATATTAATTTATAAAATTATATTTTTTAAATTAATAGAATGAATAATTTTCATAGCAAAGATAACATCACTACATATTACCTTTAAATGTGGGAAATATTATTGCCATTCTTGTAAATTATAATTAATAAAACCACTATCAACACTCAATATCAAATCTTACAATCTCTTAGAGGTGCAGACCCATGAAAATTTTCAGCAACAATTGAAAATAAAAAACTTAGAAATATTAATATTGCTTTCATTTTGTTAGCAAACAAGATTCTTGGGATTATACTCAAGGATCTAGGGTTTTCTGTGGTTCTTCCGAGGTATGCTCTCTTTCATCTGTCTGTGTCCACCAGACTAATCAGACCTTCCAGGGGACATGACATCTCCGGAGCCATTCCACGCGACCCTGAGACACGCGAGGAGCAAATGGGTGGAAATGGGTCGGCCCCAAAAATCGAGCCGGGGCAAGGCTCACTCCCGAGAATGGCAGGCAAGTGTTCTCAGAAAGAGAGAACAAACAGAAAAATGGAGAGAAAAAGAAAACCAAAGGCTGAAAACTTTGTAGGAATTCGAGAGCTTCGTCAACTCGGCGTTTGATGCCCGTGACACATTCACGGTGCACAGGCTGCTCGCCTCGGACGATCACGTCTTCGACAAATGGATGGAGGCTCTGGAGCTCAACGCGCAAGGAAAGCTCCCGCTGGGCGATGGCAGGCTCCCCACCGGAGGAGGCCTGCCGAGCAACTCCATCTCCATGGCCAGCCTCGTGAGCATCCGCGCGCTGGAGAACGAAGAGCTCCTCTACGTCGCCGAGCAGCTCGCGAGCAAGGCCTGCCTCTTCCGGAAGTTCCCGAGCTGCGAGATGGACGTGCCTTCTCTGGATCAGCTCGGGAAGAAGCTCAAGAACAGGAGGTTGATCGCCGAGAGGCTGCTCCAGGAGTGCATCGCCAGCAACATCTTGCCAAGCTACGTTACCAGCGTTTCCGGGCTCAAGAAGAGGCTCCGGATCAGCGACGAGGAGCTGGACGAGTGGGCGAGAGTGGAACCCGAGGCTTGCTCCAAGCTCGCCAAGAAGAAGAAGACGCTCAAGCTTGTGCCGCTTCCACTTGGTTGGTACTCTCGTCTCCAGGAGAAGCTCGGCGGCGATGAGATCTCGCCATACCTGGTGCGCGAGTGCAGCAAGACGAGCGTCGAATGGATCGTCAGGCTCTTGGCCGAGAAGCGGAGCGTCAAGCTCATAATCGCGGATCTTCGCCGGTGCCAGGACGGTGATCTTCAGAGCTTGTGTGACAAGTTGCTGCTAGCGCTCGAGTCCGGGGGCTGCTCCTGCCGCGTGATCTTACTCGTCGCCATCGCCCAGCTCCCCGGGATCATGCATGGAGTGGAGAAGATCGCTCGGATCATCAGAGGTGGCGTCAAGGTTGGCAGCGTGGTTGATTTCCCGGAGCAAACGCACCACCACACCATGATTGTGAGCTTCGGCACGGGATCACTGGAGAGGGGTGGAGGAATGAGCCTGTTCTTGCGAGAGGGAGATCACCGCCTTCCAAAAGAGTGGGAAGATCACAAGTTTGCCATGGAGAGGGAGGAGGGATCCATCAGCCTTGGGCTGGCGAGCCATGTTGTGAGACAGTTCGAGGAGGATGGCGGCGCTTACATCGTCGAGTATGGCTGCGGCGGGCAGATCTTCAAGGCTTGCATGATCCACGACCAGAGGGGGATTGTCCTGGTCGAAACTTCGCAAGAGCTGGACAAGATGAAGAGATTGGTCCAAGAGCTGCGAGCTACGAAGAAAAGCTAGCCTTCTAAAGAGGAATTTTTTTTCTACCGAGATGGTGGAAAGCTAGTGATCAAAACATGTAAGATTCTGGGTAGTCAATGGAAATCAATCACCCTTCTTTTATCCTTGTTCTTTTTTTTTTTTCAGGTAAAGAAATTAAAATTGAATATTAACAATTTTGTAGAATGCTCTTTGTTAATATCCAGTGGTTGGCACCTGATTAGTAACAATATTAACAATGTTGTAAGATGCTCCTTGTTGATTAGCCCTGTGATCTCAACTGCTATAGGTTTCAACTAGGAATATGTGACCTACATCAGAAGGCAGTTTAACACTTACAGTCTCAAAAGCCTTTAACACAAGAAAAGGCCAAAAAACACTTATATGTGATCCCAACTCAATGCAAAGTTGTAGTGCAAGTTTAGTAAAAAAAGCTGATTTTTCTTAAAAGAGTGTTCTATTGACAAATCTATCTATCCATATGCTCGCTGTGTCCACTGTAAACCACCGCCTAGTTGGTGTTTAATAATCATAAAAAGGATTAAGAAAAGCAATGGTTGTGTACGATTTTTACACACCCATTAAAAAGAATAATAATAAAATCTGGAAGCAGAACTTTTTTACATGTGCTGGAAAAAAAGTATAGAATATTCTCCTCCCAAACAGAGGACAGAAAATGGCGTCGTTGTCGGGGATTAATGGCGCAGATGTACGTGCACACGTGGCAAGAGCGAGGAAGGTGTTGAGGAAGCTACCTCCAGATCAATTCGCGGATCCTCGCAACATCCTATTTTTTTAAACACAAGAAACAAGTTTTCTAATGGTTTGCCCTAATCGCGATTCCAGCACGAGATTTGACCTTCCCCCTTTGGTATCCCAAAAGTCAACAATTCACTTAACTGTTCTTTTCCCAGGACCACCAAGATGGAACTTTAATAAAACTGTGCGTAGTTACCATAGCCATAGCTTGCCTAGTCTAAGAAAAGAGAGGTTTCGTGCTCTCATCTCCCCTATACATTCTTCTGGATGGATCATGGACGCCACATTTCCGCAAAATCCGGATTATAAGGATTTTAACGCGTACGCGGTGTTCGTACGGCAGACCCGTACAACCGCTGCCTCACCTGGACTGACTGACCTTGACCCTATAACCTTGGAATGAGATATACTGTTCGTTATATTCCACGCGGCAGTGCCCAGACCTCGTCTGCCCGTGGACGCCGTCAATCACGATTCCTCGCACGGACGGAATATACCCCTTCTCTTTCGCGGTATATAAATGAGAGAGGCTTTTCCCCAAATCATTTCCATTCGATCGCTTCGGAGGAAAGTGTGCGCGGGGTGTGGTGTACCGCTCCAATTCCATCCGAAAATCCGGCCGGATCTTCCAGCGCCGCCAGGAAAGTTCTCGCAGGTTTGGGTGTCCAGTGGCGAATTTTTTCTTCGATTCGATCGCTACAACACCGCGCCGCAGCAGCACAGCGCAGTGATGGATCAAGGAGGCAGCGGCGGTGGCGCCACTGGCGCCAGCGCGAGGAGGAGCAGGCCCTCGGCGCTCAAGATGAGCAAGGATTCCAGGGCGATCCGCAAGCCGCCGGTGCCGCTGCCCGTGGTGCAGTACCGGCAGCCCGTGATCATCCACACGTACTCCCCCAAAGTGATCGAGACCGACGCCACCAATTTCATGTGGCTCGTCCAGCGCCTCACCGGATCATCGGACACCCGGATGCGATGCAAGAGCTCCAAGCCGGCAGTGCTGCCCACCTTCATGCCCAGCAGCCCATCCCACTCGCCCAGATCCATGCCCACCACTGCCAGGAATTCCTCTCCTTGGAAGCGGGAGATCGTGGAGGAGGAGACAGTGATCAATCAGCGCCACCGCCACCAATTATCCGGCTCGCCCAGCAGCGAGGAAGCCGAAGATCCAGAGCTCCTCCGCTCCTCCTCCGCCGGGGACGACGATTCCTCCTCCATTTCCGACCTGCAGCAGCAATTCAAGGTGGAGCACCTCCTCCTCTCGCCGGCATCCAGCTCCGACTCGGGCAATCCCTTCCACCGCCTGGCGAATCCACTGCTCGCGTCGCCGAAAAGCCCCCTGGTCAGCTTCGATGCCGCGGGGCTCGCGTTTGGAGATCAGCACCGCCAGTTCCTCCCCAATCCCTTCTCCACCTCCTCCTCGCTCGCTTCCAATGGCGAGCCATCGGTCTACGTTCCACAGATGACGATCCAGCAGCAGCAGCCATGGTCGCCCATTTTCACTCCCAGTGGAATCTCCCACGCGGACTTCCTCCCCGAGTTCGATCTCTGGACGACGATGAGCTCCTCTTCTTCCGAGTTTCACGGCCTCTCTCCTCGCAGCAGGCTGTTTGGGCCGATGCAGTCGCCCGCCACCATGGCTTTCCGGGACATGGCCTTCGCCTTCGTCAAGGACTAGAAAGGAAGACGAAAGGTTCGGTCTTGGTTTCCTCCTTTCCAGTTTTTGGATAGCTCAATCGCTGTTCCTTCTCCGAGAGGACGATGAGGCTGGCGTACTTGTACATAAGAAATCTTCCACTTTCGACAGGTTGGAATCGATAATTTCTCAGTCTCGTCCTGCCGATAGAGTTCATCCTCGACCGGGGTTTTTGTGTCGATCAAGCTTTGTTTCGCTCTTTCAGTCCTCGATAAAGATAGTTTTTTGTGTTCTTGGGCACCTTACTTTTTCTTTTTTTCTCTGATATGGCAACAGCGAGGCTGGATGGTTCGCCGGTTCCTTTCAGAGTTTTATCGGGCAAGGAAGATTTTGCGCTTCCGTGCGCCTCTCGTCTCGTCCCTCTCTCTCTCTCTCTCGCACAATCGTATAGCAAGAACAGACCCGGAACAGATCACCATAAAGATGTTTGTTGCACTGCACGCTTCATCCAAATGCGTTAAAAAACATCGCAATTAAGACGCTGACGAGATGATGTTTGCTGCGCTGCTGTCGAGAGACGTAGCCAAGATCGCTTGCAGAACCTCTGGGGCCGAGAATCTCCGATGGAGAAAGAAGTGGAGATCAGAACCACTTTCGCCCCGCCAGGAGCTCGAGTTTTCACGCACGACATGCAGGCGTTTCAGTCATCCAGAGGAGATCTAAGCGGCGAATCTGGCTTTTGCTCCTCCCGGCGACTGACTTGGATCGGCGGCGCCCGCCAAGAAACGAAGAGACGAAGACGGCAGTAGCTCTTCTCCGCCTTGTGTATGTTCATGCGCTAGCGATGACTTTATAAACTTGTTGTGTGTCCGCTTCATTCTTTCAAAGCTCTGCGGCACGCGACGTCCATATCAGAGCCAAAACGTTTCCCGTCGCTGGATCACAGGCTCCTGTGCAAGCACGAGTCAACCAACGTGCATGCCCGACCTCTGGGAATTGTTTTTGCATTCTTTCGCTGGGTCGTGCGCTTTGCGTTCCAGATCCCTGTGTGCCAACTGAGCAGAAAGTCGTCGGTGTTTGGCGGAGAGATTCGCACCCCCATTCCTTGCAATCTCGCCCAAAAGCCAATTTTTCAAAGCTTTCCCGTTCTATCCACTTGCCACCTACTTTGGAAGGCTTTCGAAAGCTTTATATGAGAAGAAAGAGCTGAAGCACCTTTGCTTGCATGTAAGTACCACCTCATACTTCTTTGGCCGAAAAATTCCAACTTGTCGGCTCTAAAGATAAGTGTAGATCGCTGTTCCTGTTCCTTTTTGATACTGCGCTTTGTGATACTTGAATCGCAAATGGACAACGGAGATGGCCTGTTACCTGGAAGGCACACACACAATTAGCGATGCAACTGGAAGAAAACAAACACTTCAGGACAGCGCAAGACTTGAAGAGAGAAAAAAAAAGACTATACCGGGTAGCATTCTGATGCGTCGATCGATGGGACCCTTTTGGCAATGCAAGTTGTTCGAGAATACGTAAGCAGTTCCTGTGTAGTGTAACAATAAACAAACGCTTTTGACAAGGAAGGCCCAACAGCAGAAAGAAGAAACAAAGCACTTAGATGGCTATATCTTAGTGTTCCTGTGAAGCCAAGGTATGTAAGCAATGACGCAAACGGGCCTGAAATACCTTGTTCCTCAGGAGAAAGACTCACACATAACATTCGCTTCGGCTCTCTCTCTCGAGCGTCTTCAGACCTGGTCCTCGTTTCCTTTTCTACTTCTCTGTTTCCATCGTCGTTCAGAGATCTTTTGCCGCCTTTTCCCGAGCCTCTCTTCTCCTTCTGGCGACTTCCATGAAGAATTCTGGCGGTGGTAGAGGCTTGGAATTCTGTGGAGGGTAGACGACGTAGCTTCGCTGCAAATATCGAGAGCCAAATCGAATCTCGTTAGTAGACCGAGCTGGAAGATAGGGTGGAGAAAAAGAAGGAAAAAACAAAGAAAAGAAACAGCTTAAGAGCGAGCTAGCGAGAAAAAGAAAGAACAATCGCGCAAAGACACATTCTCATAGGAAACGCTGGCAAAGAAAACTTTGATTGCTGGACGAAGAAAGAGAAGGAAAATCGCAAAGAGATCCACACAAACTATCTATTTAGAAATTAGAAACACGGCTAGAAAGAAAAAAGAATGGAAGAACAATCGGGCAAGCCGAAAGACAAAGAAAGCATTAAGAAGGACGATGGAAGAATCGCAAAAGTGTGAGGATGTACCACACAAAGTTCCAGAAGGAATCATACAAGTGTGTGTCTAGCAAGAAAGCTGCGAGAGAGTATCACGCTTCTTCACGAGATATAAAAAAAAGGAAAAACGATTGGGAGGAGGTACCACACAAAGTTCCAGAAGGAAACATACCAAGTGTCTATCTAACAACAACGCAAAACAAGTCAGAGAGAAAAGAGAAACGTTGAAAGCTGCGAGAAAGTATCGCGCCGCTTAACGCGAAGATGGGAAGGAACAAAGAAGAAGCTGGACAGAAGCTGGACGGAGAAACCATTAAGAAGATGGAAGAATCGCCAAAGCAGCAGACAAAGTTCCAGAAGGAATCTTATCTAGCATGAGAAAGCTGCGAGGAAGTATCGCACTGTTCAATGGAAACGAAAAAGAAAAAGAACGAGAAGCTGGACAAAACCACAAAACCCTGAGAAGCAACGAAGATGGAATGCAATGCATCGATTCACTCACATTGCGGATGGCCCAGTTGAGCGCGTCGGAGCCAGCCGAGAAGCCGAAGATGAGAACCACCGGGATCGTCACGTAGACGCTGAATTTGAACATCTCGAGCCAGAACTTTGGCCGGCTGCGCGAGCCGCGCACATCGGGCAGAGAAATCGGGAACTTACGCTTGTGCTGCTGCTGCTCCGCCGCCGCGGCCGGGACCTTCTCCTGCTGCGTCGACGCCATTCCTCGCCAGATTAGGGCAAAACAAGCAAGAGCTTTGAGAGTATTCGAACCGGGACACAGCAACACTTTAGGGCTTTTTCGCGCGTAAGCAAGAACTTTGAGAGGATTCGAACCGTTACCCGACAGCACTTAGGGCTTTTCCAGGGTGCGCGCGACGCGAGCTTTCGTTTTCGTCCCTTCCGCCCTGGCGCGCGGCGGCGATCGATCGCTCGGTCCATCAGGTAGGCCTTTGGCGCTCCCGATCCATCTAGCTCTGCGCATTCCCGCCGATCTCCAGAGCTCGAGAGAATGGCCGCGGCGGCGGATTCCTCCCCTCCCTACGTGCCCTACGCGCTCAAGATGACGCTCACTGGCCACCAGAAGGCGGTGTCCAGCGTCAAGTTCTCCCCCGACGGCAAGCTCCTGGGCAGCTCCTCGGCGGACAAGACGATCAAGCTGTGGTCCGCCGACGATGGCAAGCTGCTCAAGACGCTCCAGGGCCACAGCGAGGGCATCTCCGACCTGGCCTGGTCCAGCGACTCGCGCTACGTTTGCAGCGCCTCGGACGACAAGACGCTCCGGGTGTGGGACTGCGAGACGAGCGAATGCCTCAAAATTCTCAAGGGCCACACCAACTTCGTGTTTTGCGTCAACTTCAACCCCCAGTCGAGCGTGATCGCGTCCGGATCATACGACGAGACGGTCCGCCTGTGGGACGTGAAGACGGGCAAGTGCTTGAAGGTGCTCCCGGCGCACTCGGACCCCGTCACCGCAGTGCACTACAACCGGGATGGATCGCTCATCGTCTCCAGCAGCTACGATGGGCTGATGAGGATCTGGGATAGTCAGACGGGGAACTGCCTCAAGACGCTCATCGACGACGAGAACCCGCCGGTTTCGTTCGTCAAGTTCTCGCCCAATGGGAAGTTCATCGTGGCTGGAACGCTGGACAACACCGTGGTACGTATGAGAAGCTCTCTCGCTTTGGTTTTGCTCCCTTCTCTAGCTCGGCTGGCAAAGTTTCTAGGACTTACTTTTTTCTGTTCTTTCTCTAGCTCGAGCATTGAGCTCTCTCGTTTGTTTTCTTTAGCTTGATTGGCCCCTTCGTTCACTTCCTTCCTCGAACATCCTCTCGTTTGTTTTCATTGTTTCTCGTTTCACAGACTCGCGTTCTTTGTCTGGACTCCAAGCTCTTGAATCTTTCTTTTCTTTTCTATCTCGACGTGAGATGACGCTTTCTTCTGTTAACACTCTCGTTTCTTTCTTTTATCTAGCTTGATTGACTGCCTCGTTCCTACTTCTGAACTTCCTCTCGTTAGATTGTTATTTCTCAGACTCTCGCGTGCTTCGTTCTTTTCTTCCTCGACGCGAGATAACGCGTTCCTTGCTGTTTGGTTTACGCAGAGGCTGTGGAACTACCAGACGGGGAAGTTTTTGAAGACTTACACCGGGCATGTCAACAACAAGTATTGCATCTTCTCGGCCTTCTCGGTGACAAACGGCAAGTACATTGTGAGCGGCTCCGAGGACAACTGCATCTACCTGTGGGACTTGCAATCCAAGAGCGTCGTCCAGAAGCTCGAGGGGCACACCGACGTCGTCCTCTCAGTGTGCTGCCACCCGAAGGAGAACAAGATAGCGTCGGGAGCTCTGGAGAAGGACAAGACCGTCAAGATCTGGGTACAAGGGTGATGAGCCCCAAGTTCTCGCTTTGTCTCTCTTTCTCTCACACACGGAGATCGATCGAAAGCCTGGTCGGAAGGCGATTTCTAGATGAAGATCGTGAAATCCCAACGAGTTGCTTAAGTGAGTTTGTGATTAAAGTTAAACTCTTACCATCTAAGTGACCCAAACTTTGCGCGCCATAATTTCAAATAAAATCCATGCCAACCTCGATATAGAAAATGAATTTACCCCGACACGGATTCCAATGTCGCGGGAAAAGATGAAAAATCAAAAGATTTTTACACCACGCTTTGCTTTCGCTACGCGCGCCAAAACGTTTTCACCCCACTCCTCGTTGTTCGTACACGATGGCGATGGCCACAACAAGATTTGGGCCACAAGTTCTAACTGTATTCAATTCTCGCACGCATGGGCCATGATTTGATCACGTCGATGCCCTAGTAGCTACTTGCGGGGAGGTATTTGAAAGTTGGCGGGGCGGGAAAACGGAATGGGATGTGAATGGATTGAAGTTGAGGGGGGCGAAAGCGCTGCTTCGATCGAGCGATCGATCCATTCTTGCGAGTGGTCGCGCTCGTTCTTTTTGTTTGTTATGCAGCTAGTGTGGCCGTAATAGCGATTGATAAGATAGTGGTGGAATTACAAACACAATCACCAGCATCAATTGTTTCCCTCTTTTAACATCAATCGCTATACCTAGCGGCCTGGCCCTGCTGCCCATTTCTTGAATTGCACTCATCCATCACAGTTTTTTATTCAACTGCCAAATTACATGGTGCTAATGTCTGGAGGAGTGAGGATTTAAAAGTTAAAAAGATAGAGCCAGGCATCTAGAGACAACAACAACAACAACAACAACAACAACAGTTGCAGAAAAGCAACCCCAAACAAGATTCAAATTAAAGATGGAGCCCTTTGTCCTTGCATGCACCCCCACATTGATTCTCACATGTGGATAGTTTGCAAAGTGATGCCATGATCTATTGAAATATTTCTATTAGTATGTTCTTTTTTTCACAGCCCTATCTGACAAGTGTTTTGTGATGACGTGGCGATAGCAGGTGCTAACACATCGGCTCGTCTAGGGCTGAGGTGGCTAGCCGGACAAAGGGGGGGAGGTTTAAAGTCCTCGCATATGAGCGAGAGCTCGCTCTGTGCGAGTGGAATGGTAGCCATGCGTTCACTGCTGCTCCCCGACAATAGGTCTAAGTAGAGGCGCGCGCTGTGGCTTGTGGGGCGTCTTTCTCTTTCTCTCTGGTGTTTCGTAATGACTGATCCCTCCCTTTTCGATGAGCTGTGCTGAGCGCAAGCCAAAGCCAACAACAGGATATCAGAGGAATAAAATGCGAGCTGGAAACAAACAGCGCTAGCTAGCAAGCCAAGCACAGTGGCAGCTCTCGCCTCTCTCACACAGAAAAAGAGAGGAAAAGAAAAGGAAAAAGGGAGCAAAGCAGAGTGAATCCACTCTAGTCGGAGGATGAGATGAGGAGCTGTAAATGCGTAACGACAGGAGAGGAGTTTGTAGCGAGCGACTTACTTCTCATCAGACTGTTCCAGAGTGTTGTGGGCACAAGCGAGCGCAGGAACACTGTAGCAGCAGGAGCAGCAGCGTAGCACACGAAGGTCGCTCTCCTCTTCTATTTTTTTTTTGCCTCCATCCCTTCTTCCTTCTTGGCACTCTGGCATTCCTCCTCTCCTGCGCTTGCCACTCTGCTTACGAATGAATGCATGATCATCATCGGCGGCGCCAAGTACAGGTGGTTGCTTTGTCGCTTGGCCCATCCACTGTAGCTGCTGAGCAAACAAAACAGAAGCCGATCAGAGGTTTCCAAACTTGGTGAAAGCCGTATTGAAATGCTGCTGTCTACTTACCTCATTCTCTCTGTAAGGGTGCACTGTTTGTGCTCCTCCTCCTATTTCTTCTCTGCTCGCTGAGCAGCGCTGATAACTTCACTGGGTTGTGCCTCCTCTGGATTGAGAGATTTCTTTTCCTCTATGCAATTGCCTCCTCTTTTCACTTCGTTGTCCTGCTCAGTGCTACTGCTTTGTAGTACGCTGCGAGCGGTCTCTCCTTTTGTTCTTTCTTTCTCTGATGTGGGCCGTCTCGTGACTCGCCAGCTCTCCTCCAGCACCGTGTACGTCCTTGAAGAGAATTGAAGTCCATGAAGAACCCGATGGTTGGTTGAAGGAAGTCCTGCCTTCCCCCTGTTCATCGCTTCGGCACGAGTGGCTGTTCCTCTTCTCCAACGAATCCGGAATGAAGCCCGATACTCCGCTGGATTCTGTGGTGTTTCAGCTCGACGAATCTCGCTCCAGGTTTCTCTTTTCTTTCTCTTTTCGTTTCGTGGGCCTTGAATCGTCCTTGCCTTAGATGCGAGCTATGGGTTGCCGCTGGAGAGTCCACCGAGAGATTGGCCTCTGGATCCTTGATGCCATTTCTAGCGCATCTCCGCACGGCGCAAGAGCAGCTCGCGAATGATTGTAGCTCCATCGAGCTGCATTGTCCACATCAAGGCGCTTCCTGGTTCACCAAAAGAACCATCGAAAGGTCAGTTTTGTTGTACCAACAATTGATAGCGATTTAAATTTCACTCACCCACTTGAGCGACAGGTTCGTGAGATTTGTGAGCACGCCCGATGTGTTGGAGCGTGTGAGCTTCTTGGAGACGGAGCGCATGAAACTCGCTGAAGCGAGCAGCATCTTGATAAGCGAATCACCTCGCGTAAGCGCTGGGAATTACTCGTTGCGATGACATCCCTCATCGTGCTTGCGAATTTGCTTTTTTCCACAGGTTGGAGCCTGCCTCCCACTCCCAGTTCTCGAATCTGGAAACGCAGGTTAGTTAAATCACTTAAAAATTAGAACCGAGAACGTAAAGACCGCTGACACGGGAGATGTTTCAGGCAAGGAAAAAGTTGAGCAAGCCAAAGCGCAGGTACGAGATGAAATGCAACTAGATATGAGTTTCGGCATGTTCTGAATCCGTCCTTCACAGGCTCATGCGGAGGCAGAGGAGCATTCAATGGACACCCTGGAGGTTGAAACTGAGTCTTCAAGGTAAAGGCCGACGAGCTCTCTCTCTTAGAATTCCACGCTCGGTTTCAATGCGCTCTCCCTTCCGGGTGGCAGGAGGCACTTGGTAAAGGCGATGGATGCACGGCGACTTATTCTGGAAAAGGAGCAAAGGAGTGCATTTGCTCGTGCAGCGGCAGCGGGCTTCACCATTGGTTGTCTGCCTGACTTGATCGCTTTCGCAGGCTGCTTTGGTGCCACCCGGCTGAGGTAACGCAGCACTTCATGGTCAAGTTTTGCTGACGAAACTATATGCAGTGAGGCCTGCTCGAAGTTTGCGGAATTGCATAGGAAACTACTTGATCCGGACGTTTCAGCGGAAAAACTGGAGGAAAACTCAGACACTCGGGCTTCTACAAAACTGGAGGAAAAATCAGAGACTCGGGCTTCTACAAAACTGGAGGAAAAATTAGAGGTGGAAGGACAGGCTGAGGTTGAGGTGGTGAAAAACGTTGGAAGGAGAAGGGTATGGGGACCACCTGTCGCTGAGATCCCACTACAGATGCCGTTGGAAAGAGTGAATGGTAGTGTACCTGAGTCCGAAGGAGATGGCGCATTTACTCCCGATGACTCCGACTCGCCACAAAAGTCCACTGCTTCCGGAGGCCGTGAATCTGATTGGGAAGACAAGGAAGGCAGCAGTGAGAACCCCGTTTACGCAAATGTGCTCGGTCAACTAAGCGGGAAAGACGCCGACAGTGGTGAGACTGGGGAGGCCAAGTCCGCATCCAACCAGGTGGATGCGTCTGCGGTTCGAAGAAAAGGGATCGTTGTCATCAAGAACCTCAAGTTTCCGCAGACCGGAGCAAGCAGCATCATTGCAAAGCAGTCAGACACAGAGAGCGACAGAGACAGTGAGAATGAAACAAAAGGTGGCAGTGGCGGACGGCTCAGCGTTCAGGCAGCCATTAGTCTGTTTGAAACCAAGCAGAAAACATCCAGGGAGGTTTCGAGACAACAGGTGGACACAAATAGGAAGATGTCGGATCCTCCAACACGTACAGGAAAGCAAGACCCAGCGGCAAGTGACGGACACAAGCACGCACTCAAGCACGAGCACAGACCGCGGGAGCTTCTAAGTGACGATGTCAGGCGCAAAAGCATGCTTACCGAAAGTATACAGTCGGGTTTGCCGAAGAGAGACCGTGATTTCATTCTGCAAAAGTCAAGTTTAGATAGCAAGGGACAAAGAGGACATACTAAAATGGACGCTGTGAATGATCTGGCTAGGACTCGGAAGGAACAGGTTGATAGAACACAAAAAGAGGGCGGGAGCCGTCAGAACACTACAGCAAAAACTGCAGACGAGATTAGAAAAGAGTTGCTTAGTAGGACTCAGCAAAGAACAGGTGCAAGCAACCAGAGCACAGTAAAATCTGCGGACGAAATCAGCAAGGAACTGCTTGATAGGAGCTATACGTGCTTGCTGAAAATAAACTCTGTTGTGCAAGACGCCTTGTTCTCTGCTTCGGCCTTGCGACAGACTAAAAAACCGGAACAGCCCAAGGCAAATGTCGAAACAGATAGCGACAGCAGGGAATGGAGATCACTCTCGAATGTTTCCAAGTTCGGCTTAGACGACATCTTCGTCGAGAATAACGTTTCAACCAAGGAAGCCTCTCGGAGACAGTCATTGTGCACTCCAGCAGAGTATGACGGTAAAGCCAATAGCGACGACGTAATGGCAACAAGAGCTCCTCACGAGCATGAGAAGGGAAGGTTTTACGACCAGTATCAAGAAATACGAGCCGCAAAATACAAGAAGGAATCGACACACTTGAAAGCAGAGCGAGAATCGAAGCTGAGAGCAATGCAGGATGTTTTGGAAAGGCGCAAGACAGAACTTATGGGAAAAAGCACGCGGCTCCCAGAAAAGAACAATACGATGACAGTTGAGCAGATACGGGCCATAAAGCTTCAAGCCACGAAAAACGTCGTGAAAAAGGTACATACCTCGAGTTTTTGTTTAACGGTTCGATGATCTTTCTTATACAGGATGTGCGCTTAGACTCCATCAAAGCTCTGCAAAATGAAAAGTCAGGGACCCGGACTAGAACTTCCAACGTTTTGCGCTGCAAGCAAGAGTCATCTCCAAGCTCTACAACCTCATCCACAAGAAAAATCTCACCTGGTCCTCCGAAGCCACTAGCAACTCCAAGGAACTTCGGACGCTTAAGTTCCTCTCCACGTTCGAAGCACTTATCGAGTGGACCTCCTGTAAGTCAAAGAAGAATGCCGAATTTTATGAGTCAGTCGGTTATCGCTGAAAGCTTGCATACTCAAGCAGACCTGAGAAAGGAAAATGCCAAGCCTTTTACGGGGAGAAACAGCTTGAACACGAGTCATGAGGCTGGGCAACCGTCGAGATATTCTCAGTCCCGGGCAGACAAGGTGAACCGAAACTTGGCACTTGAAACTTCTCCTTCCAACGGGGAGATTAAGAGACTGGGTGGGAAGGGAAGAACGGACGCCAGGGACAGCCAGATTCTAGCTCCACTCAAAGTTCCTCGAGACCTGGCACCAGAAAAAGGCAGGGTGAAACAGGATTTGCCAAAGGCTCAAGGCGTACCAAGGATTGTGATTCCTAGACCGTCCAACTCTCCAGTCTCTGCTGGTTCGAAGCCCGGAAGTGTTCCTGAGCCGAAGTGTGAAGCCGGAAAAACTGGTACTGTGGTAAGATCCACACCAGTCTCCTCGACGAAGTCCAGCGACGAGTGCATCAAGCAGATCGTAAGCTGTACTAGCAAGGATAGAAACGAGCAGGTACCTGAGGACAACCCTTCCAAGACTTTGGCTTCCCCTGGCCTCCCGGCTGAAGCTCCACAGGTCTCTCTGGTCATTACGAACGTCAAAAGTGAGAGCTTCAAAGAGCAACCAAAGTCGGAGGAGCCTTACACTTCGAGCGAGATCAAGTTCGAGGCGTTTGTTTCCAAGGATTTCGAGGACGACATACAGATCGACGAGGCTCTGGAGAAATGCATGTCCGGGAGATCTTTCCTGGACGGCATCTCCGCTTCTCCACTCACGACGTACGAGACCACCACCACCTTGGGAATCAAAGGCATTTGCTGCAGCAAACAAGATCTCATCAGTTCTTCGCTACGCACAGGACCCTCGTCGCAAAGTCTACCTCATTTGCAGCGATCGCTCTCCCCGTCATCGCTAGCATCCTTTCGAAACGACTTCGCTGCCAAGGAGATCAAGACCCTTTGCAAAGAGCATCACCAGCCCGTGGCACACAAGGACCAGCCCAAGGGATTGAAGCGCCTCCTAAAATTCGGACGTAGGAGCCGAGCGTCGGACAGCAATGCCGGGGAATGGAGCACGATCAACGAGGATTTCGTCGTGAACAGTACCCGATCGAGCAAGAAGAACGCGGCGGTGGAGGAACCCTTGCCCAGAACGGCCGGATCCAGCGCCGGGAGCAGCGTGAGGCGGAGCTTGGAGGCGCTGCCAAAGATTGCCGACGCTGCGAGCGAAATATGTAAGATTCGTACAAATCCCTCTCCCTCGTTCTCTCAGATCTAGCTTACAGACTCACCGATCGCGCCTTGCTTGCAGCAGCCAGGAATTTCTTCTCCACTTTCCGGAGCAAGAGCAGCACCAGTGAATCCCGATCTAGGGCTTGAGAGCTCCGCGCGAATGTGAACTGGGAATAGGTATAGAGATGGAAAGAAACGAGAAAGCTCGGATACTTTGTGGTGTGAACTCAAATGAAAGGATATTCGATTCCAAACGGTCCTACCGCGCGGCATACAGCCACATGGCGTACAGCGCTGCACGGTCTGGCAGTAACATCAAACATTGAACTCTTCTTTTCAAGCTTCTGCCATAGCCGCTGCTTGTATCTCCTTGACGAGATCATCATACGCTGCGAGAACAAAAAATCTAAGACTTTCAAGCTTTCCTAGAAAAAAAAGAGAGAAAAGATTACCATCGGGTAGAAGTTTCATTCTCAAGAGTTCTTCCGCTTTAGAAACTTTGATCGACGCAGCTTGAGATGCCTGCTGCGACCGAGTTCCACGCCGCCCGCTTGCTTTTCGGCCTGGATGAGCGAGAGACCACACCAAAACCGTGCACCGCGTCGGGTACTCGGACGCGAGATTGTCAAAGGCGAGCTCGACGTCGGCTTTACTGGCAGAACGAACCACGCATAGAAATCACTAAAAGAAAACACTTGCAACCATAAGGACTTCTTACCAGGTTGGTTCGTCGAGTGAAAACGTGATCAGATTGTAAGGCAAGCTGTGGTAAAGATCTCCAATACTGTCTCCGTGAAGCTGCTTTAGCCCCAGAATCTGGAAACTACTCTTGTGTCACAACAAACGATCTAAACTCGAAGAGTTTTACCTGTCCTCGTCTACAAACAAAAGCCTGTAGATGGCTGTCAACATGGTCGAGGAAATTCTAGAGAAAAAGATGAGTAAAGCTCAAATAGAGAAGAAGCAAGAGGATTACCGTGGCACTAAGCTGCAAGTGCGTTTTCTCTATCTCGCGGAGGTTCAAGTAAAATGGAATGTTGTCTTTGCTCACGAAAATTTTGTTGGACGGTGGCTTCGTTGTTAAAACACAGTAGTAGCGTTCTTGTTCTTGTTCTGCAACATACCACCATCACTAACTTGTTGGGCGAATGTTTATCCCATACCTGAGAAAGCTGGAGTGAATTCGATTCCGATGCGTCTGTTGCTCAAGATAAAAATGGCCTGGGAGCTCGAAAGAGAATTAAGCACGAAAGAGAAATTCTGGATTCTCGTACCTTTCGACCGATATGATACAGCAATCTTCCGGTGTCGTTCCTTTCACTCTCGGAACTATTTTCGCTGTAAGCCTGCAAAAGACGAATGCTTCTAGAACTACACAAAACTAAGAGAAACTACCTGCTCAAAGATGGTTTCTAGCAGTGCATCGTTCCAACTAGAGCTTTCCAAATACGTCCCCTCTGCGAAAAAACAAATCTAGCAAATCAAAGAAAAAGGAAAGAGAAAAACAAGTCCAACCTGAAGAGTTAGCTCTAGCTTCATCGAACTCTTGAGCCAATTTTGCGCCTTGAGCTTTCTCTGGCTTACTAGACAAAAATTTAGCTCGAGAGACATACAAAGAAGGGAAAAGAAGAACAAAGAATACCTGAGCGTTTCACGAAGTTGTAGATGCCTCTCTTGCAATCCCGAAACTACGATAGAGAAAAAAAGAGAGAGAGATCATAAATATGGAAGCGTGAGCCTTGGAACACTTACTTCGAGCTCGGATCGCTTCCAGGGACACTTCGTGCTCGTCTTCCTGCCAGATTGGGGGTAAAATCCAGACTAAAATTCGAAGAATGCTACCCGTGGAGTCGTGTCGGCGTGAATGCGCTTGGGGCGCTGGGCGTGAGGGCGTCGCTCACTGATCTTCCGCTTGTCCCGCTCCTCCATTGTTAGGGCTCACTATGTGACGTGGCCATATTTTAGGGTTTAGGCGAGGTTTTTGTGGGCAATGGCGGATCAAGACCCCCAGGCGATGCATTTCACGCTTCATCTGGATAAGCCGATCGCTTGCCAGGTAATGTTTCTAGGCGGTGGATTTCTCTCGGCAAAGCGCGCATTCTTTCTCTCAGGTGGAGATCGCGTCTTGGAATCCGGAGAAGGATTTGCTCGCAATGGTGAGCACGGATCATCAGCTCACGGTCCATCGATTCAACTGGCAGAAGCTGTGGACGATTTCTCCGGGTAAAAGACGTTCGATGCATTTGATGTGAGATTTTACTAATGATTGGAACAGAGAAGAGGATCACTGCTATATGCTGGCGTCCCGATGGAAAGGCTCTAGCAGTCGGGCACGAAAATGGCGAAATATCTCTTCACGATGTCGAGGTTCTTATCGTTGCATTGGTGTATATTGTTGTGAGCTTTTCCTTCCAGAATGGCGAGGTTTTGAGAACACTTGAAGCGCACAAGGCCTCGGTTCAGTGTGTCTACTGGGTGGAAGAAAGGTCTGCTCGATCACAGGTACTTAGAGCAGCATTCTTTCTCTTTTTTCATGCTAGAAGCGTTTCATTGTTTGATACAGGGTTCCACTTTACATGAAGATCGAACTTCGAGATTTTTTCCTCCACCGCCAAAGCCACCAGCAATGCCAGGAACAGGCCCTGCGTTTGATATGGCTGGCGCATTTGCTTCTGGGGATGATCAAGAAAACATTTCTCAGAATGCGGCATCGAAACACTCTGAGCAGTACCTCAACATCTTGTGCAGCAGCGACAGCAATGGGCTTGTTTGCCTCAACGCATTTGGCTTGTTTGCCATTGGAGAACTGGTATGCTTCACTTTAACTTGGTGGCGTCTAACGTGAATACCCTCTAGAACTTACACAACTTTCCCAATTGGAAGCAACTATCAGCTGTGAAGGTATTCTGTTTCTCTGATCGTGGTAGCGTTTCTAACCTCGAAGAATGATATCTACAGGTGATGCTCTCTGGCGACCTATGCAACATGATCCTGCTTTGCCATGACCAAGATAAAAACTCGGGACTAGTCTCCATCTCAGTCGATACTACTTTGCTTAACAGTCGGTGGGTATTTTTGGAAGATATGGTCGAAACTAAAGCTCTATTTGCAGGCGCAATGAAATTCGTCAAGTTGCACTACAGGCTTCCAGCATTGAAGAGCTGCTAGAAGTTCTGCAAACAACTTTGACGGTCATGAGAAGACACTGGGTTGATGCGATGAGCGCGTTTGCCGACAAATTTAGTGCATTTCAGTCACTCCTCCGTGAAAATGGTAAGCTTTTTATTTTGTATTCTTGTCAACATCGAACCTTTGTGGCAGGATCGCTGTCAACACCACGTGATGAGCTCCTGACCCTTCTGGCTTGTGGCTCAGCAAGTGTCTCCCTCCATCAGTTCCTTGCTGTTACATTAGGAGAAGGGGTATGGAGGTTCCTTGCTCTATTTGCGTTAACATGATCACTTCCAGGGACTGAAAAAACTTGGAAAAAGCATTGATACTGCCGGGAGGGAGATTCAGGTTCTTATAGCTGATCATCTTCAAGTAAGCATTTGTTTTGAAGTGCAATGGTTAACTGTAAGTCGGTGAAGCCTGCCGCAGAGATTTTAGCATTCAGGATTGGCGAGCTCCTTGGGCTGTCACGTTGGCGTAGTCAGCTGCAATCCATCGGTCTAGACGAAGTTCTGGTTAACTCTGTCATGGAGAACGCAGGAATGCTAATGGTGCAAGTGGAACGATTTCTTCATGTAGTGAGTGACACGGTTGGACAGGTAAACATTATTACGGCTTACAAACTTTCGATTTGTACTTACCCGTTAAAGTTTCTAGTATCGTCTCTTCTTCGTATGGCTTACAAAATCGCTGCGACTATTTAATGCCGAGACTTCACCCTTGCATACAGAGCCCATCAACAGGTACCACGTAGTGTCTATGTTTGTTTCGTCCTGCTAAAACCTCCTCTTCTTTCAAACCAGTACAGCCATCGCGACATTTTTGAGACAACAGTTCGACTCAGATCTCATTGGACCACATGTAATTTCGGAAGGTGTTCTACCGAACATTGGGTTGTATGTATAACCATGTTCAGCTTTTGACGACATTAATGTTATCTGTTGCAGTGAAGAGGACTTGTCGAAAGCTGAAGAACTTCTTTTGCTTGGCGGATTTCAAGACGTCAAGTTCCTCCAAAGGACACTCTTTCAGCAGCTCAATTGTCTGTGTGACAGGTAGGCGCACTTACTTTGCTAGGTAAAGGCTCACATTCTCTTCCTGCAGCTGGCGAGCTGCCATATCTAAGCCCGTCGCTGTAATCTCCCCTAGGTTGTGTTTTAAAAGTCATCTCTTCCTCTGTGAGTTCCCCAAGCTTCTTCCGTTATCGTGCACATACTATGAGGTAGGCTCTACTTTATTATTTTCAGATCCGCAGGTTTTGTCCATTCTACAGATGAAAACGGAAACCCCCAGTTTTGTTGATTATACATGCTTTGAGATTCATACAGACGGGCCGAATCATATCGGTGTACTTCGTGGCTTCAACTCCCAAAGCATGGGCTCCGATGGAAACGAAGTTGAAGCCGTGGTCCTGCAACTCAATGAACACCTTACCTGTTTGGATTTTTCCTTGTACAAGGTACGAACTGCCAACCGCGACGGTCATTTACTGAGTGGTCTATTCTTGGTCGCAGGAGAAACAACTGCTTTTGCTACTCAATGAAAGATTACCTCAGTGTGGTGGCAGTCAGGCGTGGATTATGGTATTGGAGCTGGAAGAGCTGCCTTTTATATCATTGAAGTCGCAGACTAACGAGGCGGGGGAAATTCTCCGGTTTTGCACGTCGAACGTGAGTTACAGTTGTGTCGTTGGACATGAGACTAACCTGGAACGTGCAGGATGCTCTTGCATTCGTCGGCTTGAGGAGCGGCAAATCTCGATCCATCCTTCAGCTTGACGTGATCCCTCCCATCGCCGTTAGTGGTATGAGCTAAGTTTTGCCTCGAGTCTTCTTTATCGTTTGATTCCAGCTTCAAGAGGGCTTGCGTGCGTTTTCGCTGCTCAAAAGCGAGCAATGCTTTACGATCTGGAAGAAGACGAGGAAGAAAAGGATGATTGACAGGTACTTCATTTTTTCGAAATCTCTACTTTGCTGTGACGCTGGTTATACGGCTTTGCCACGCGGCGCCAGCCTGTTCGTTGCTCCTTTCGAGTTTCTGTGGACCCAAGGAGGTAATGGAATGAATTTTTTCGCTGGCTATTCCTGAAGCTCTGCCAGGCGATAGCTGGTACTGAATCAAAGCTTCCGGTTATAAGGCGCTTGCTGGGATGGTGTACAAACGCCTTTGAAACGGCTCGGTTCTCCTGGATTTGTCGTAGAACACGCACCGTGAGCGACTGGGGTAAGTCTAGCCTGTTGCTTGCTGCTTGCGTGAGCTCCTCCTTTTTTGACTGGTTCTGTTGCTGGTAAGACACTTCTTCCGGCAAAATGGTAGTGGCTTAGACCTTTCGTTGAAGACATTTTCAACTTCCGCACTTCCACAGGGTTATCGCGGCTTTATGGTTCGCAGGAGCAGCAGGAATCCCACATGTGTTTCAAGCTCAATGATCTCCATAAGGTGCTGTGGACTTTTCAGTCGTCTATATGGATTTCTCAGGGGAAGGGGCTTGCAGATGGCTCCCAGGGTCTTCTCCTTCAACTCCTCTCGAGAGACGGGCAAGGGGGAATCGTTCCATGTCATGCACGGCTTCTCCAAGATCAAAGGCAAGGCAAGGCATCCCATGGAGGATGTGCTGGTGAGCTTGTACAAGGAGTTCAAGGGACACAAGCTCGGGCTTTTCGCGGTGTATGACGGACACCTAGGGAGAGATGTCGCCGATTATCTCGAGGAGAACTTGTTCGACACTATCCTTGACGAGGTAATACACAGACTCTCCATTTCCCTTTCGGTACTGACTGGCTTTTTCGCTTCTGCATCAGCCTGATCTCTTTTGCAATCCGAAAACGGCCCTGGAAAACGCGTACCACAGCACTGATGCTGTGATCTTGCAAATGTCGCATCCTGGCGGCTCCACTGCAGTCACTGCTATTGTCGTCGACAACAAAAGGCTGCTGGTTGCAAACGTTGGAGACTCTCGAGCGGTACTGTGCGAAGCCGGCGAAGCCAAGCAACTCTCTGTAGACCACGAACCCAGCGCTGAACGTCAGCTGGTGGAAAGCCGAGGGGGTCATGTCACTCATTTTCCAGGTAACTGCTAGTCAAAAGAAAAGTGTATCTCTTTTCTTTTCTTCTAAGCATCGCTTTCGTGATCTCGTCCATGTAGGAGATGTAGCACGCGTTGATGGCCAACTTGCGGTGGCACGCGCCTTTGGTGACAAGAGCTTGAAGCAACATCTAAGCGCCGAGCCCCACGTCTGCGAAGTTATCCTGAGCGAGAGGTCCGAGTTTATGATCCTCGGAAGCGATGGACTCTGGAAGGTATGCGCTCGATCTCGTGGTTTTGCTGTTTGACGTCTCAGATTGAAATGTAACGCTCAGGTGATCGAGAACCAAGTGGCAGTGGACTTGATCCGAGGCATCAAAGACCCGGAGGAGGCAGCGAAGTGTTTGACAAACACAGCCGTCCAGAAGAAGAGCAGGGATGATATCTCTTGCATCGTGGTGCGCTTCCACGCGTAAGTTTTTCAATGCATTATCTTCGCAATCGCAGTGGAAGCCATAGCCATCGCCCATCGCCATAAAAGAGTCCATTGTTTTTCCAGCTCAAAGCTGCTGGTGCTCCCATGCTACTCGTTTTGGAGGATCCAAAAGACCATAGAACTCGATCTCGAGCTCGTACATTTATTTTCCTAGCAGCCCTTAGCATTCGTTCGTTCGTGCTCGTTAACTACCTACGCGCTGGCTGGAGTTTTTCCAATCACCCCACCTAAGATCATACTAGAACTTGCCGAGGAGAGTTCCACGAGAGAGAGAGAGAGAGTTCTTTCTAGCCCACCTGGTTCAAAGGATTGTCTGGAGATTTCTTCCACAGCTTCCACAGCAAATCCTTGTACTGCGTGTGCGTCAATCCGGGCTTGTCCGCCTTGAGCTTGGCCAGCTCCACCTCCTCAAACGCCTTGTAGCTCGCCCTCGCGCGCTTCTCCGGGTGGCGATCCACCGGGAGCTCGTCCGGGATGGCCATCTGGGCGATGGCCGCCTCCACACTCCTGGCCTCGATCAGATCCTCCGCCCTGTTCACGTTCTCCACCGCCACCATCTTCTCATACTCCTGCTCATCCGTGGCTCGCATCTCCCGCCGCTTGGTCTCCGCCGCTAGCGCCGCCAGCCGCGCCGCCTCCGCCTCCCTCTGCCGCTCCAGCTCCACCGCCGTCACTTTGGGAACCGCCGGGGATCCAACGCCCACGCGCAGGGATTTCTTGTCCACCTTTTTGCCGTAGCCCTCCATCTCGCGCTCCTCCTTCTCGGCCAGCCGCCGCGCCTCGGCCTTCTTGGCCAGGATCTCGGCCTTCTTCTCGGCTTCCTCTTCGCGCTTCTTGCTCGACCTCGATTTGGGGCCTTCCAGCTCCTGCCAGTACCTGTCCTCCTTGTCCTTGGACTCGCGATCCTTGCGCTCTGATTCCGCCTCGGCCTTGCGCGATCGCGCCTCCTCCGCCTTGCTGTTGATCCCCATCTTCTTCGGCATTTTCTCTCCCCCTCTCTCAGGAACCCTAAAGAGATATCCCATTTATCTCTGACGAACCCTAAAAGATATGAGTGAGAATTAGGGTTCTTGGGAGTGGAGCAATGGCTGCGGCAGTGGCGGTACCGGCATCTGACAGGTATGGCGGCGATCTAAACCATGGCGCCAGAGAGGAGCGCAGGGAAGACTATGATGAGCGCCGCAGCAAACGCAAGGGCCGTGATGAAGATGGAGACAGAGGTCGGAGATCGAGCGATCAAGATAAGAGGCGCCGCGACGACGCCAGGGACGAAGATCGCTGGCGGGGGCGAGACGAAGATGCCAGCAGACGGGAAGATTCTAGCAGGCGAGGGCGAGACGAAGATTCTAGCAGAAGGGGGCGAGGCGAGGATTCTAGCAGAAGGGGGCGAGACGAAGATGCTAGCAAGCGGCGAGACGACGATGCCAAAGAGGAGAAGATTGTGCTTCCTGCGGGTAGGAGTGGAGGGACATATATTCCTCCTTTCAAGCTCGCCCAGATGATGAGGGATGTGAAAGACAAGACGAGCGTGGAGTACCAGAGGATGGCCTGGGATGCTCTGCGCAAGAGTATCAATGGTCTCGTGAACAAGGTGAACACTTCCAACATCCGGAACATCCTCAAGGAGCTCATTGCCGAGAACTTGATCCGGGGGAGAGGATTGTTTGCGAGATCGTGCATGAAGTCGCAGATGGCCTCGCCTGCTTTCACACACGTGTTTGCCGGCCTTGTTGCTGTGATCAACACCAAGTTTCCAGCTCTTGGAGGATTGCTGCTGACAAGAATCATCCTACAGTTTCGCAGGGCCTTCAAAAGAAATGACAAGGTAATGGTGTTTGTTTTTCTCTCTTTATTCTACTGAGCTTGGTTTTTCTTTCCTTTATTTCCAGCCCGTTTTACTCGCAGTGACAAAGTTCCTGGCGCATCTTGTTAATCAACGAGTTGCCCATGAAGTGATTGCACTTGAGTTGCTAATGCTCCTGCTGGAAAATCCTACAGATGATAGTATAGAGGTAAGAGTATGGAATTTTGGCGATCCTTGGTACCAATATGCATTGTCCATTTAGGTGGCTGTTGGATTTCTCAAGGAGTGTGGAGCGTATTTGCTGGAGATTTCTCCCAAGTGCTTTCAGAGTATGTTTTTCGTGTGGACATTCTTTTAAATCATCTGACGCTTTTCTGGCAGTGATTTTCGATCGGTTCCGAGCTGTTCTTCACGAGGGAGAGATCGACAAACGTGTTCAATTCATGATCGAGGGAGTTTTTGCTTTACGAAAATCGAACTTTCAGGTATGAACTTGTTCTGTCTTTCAATGTTTTAGACTCAAATTGTCATGGTCTGCGCAGGGACATCCAGCAATAATCTCAGAATTGGATCTTGTTGAAGAAGGTGACCAGGAAACACATCAGATTTCCCTTCTAGACAAGGACCTGGATCCAGAAAGTCGCCTTGGTAAGTCCAAAAAGCGTACCTGATCTTATCTCACGTTTCTCGTGCCTCCAGACATCTTTGCTCCGGATCCTGATTACTTGGAGAATGAGAAGAAATACGAGACCATTAAGAACAGCATTCTCGGTGACGAAAAAGAGGAAAAGGATGGGTCAGCCTCTGGTTCCGAAGAGGAGGACGATGAAGACGAGGGCGAAGAAGAAGAAGATGAAGATGATCCTTCGCAGAGCATCCAAGACCTCACAGAAACAAACTTGGTGAACCTCAGGCGTACCATATATCTAACGATCATGTCAAGTGTCGATTTTGAAGAGGCTGGCCATAAGCTTTTAAAGATAAAGCTGGAACCAGGCCAAGAGGTATGTTCCTTCTTTTCTTTCAATATTTGTGGCTAATGATCCTACACGTCTCTGCAGAAAGAACTGTGTATCATGCTTTTAGAATGCTGCAGCCAAGAACGGACGTACCTGAGATACTATGGGCTTTTGGGCCAGCGATTTTGCATGATCAACCAAGTGTTCCAGCAACATTTTGACGAGTGCTTCCTCGGCCAGTACACAACAATACACAGGCTAGAAACGAACAAGCTCAGGAACGTGGCCAAGTTCTTTGCGCATTTGCTAGGGACGGACGCTCTTCCATGGACAACTCTCGAGTACATCAACTTGACCGAGGAGGCGACGACATCATCGTCTCGTATCTTCATCAAGATCCTGTTCCAGGTATGAGCTTTTGCATTTTGGTTTCTCGTTTGCTCACTTTTCTCTCTATTCAGGAGCTTTCGGAGCATCTGGGACTGCAAAAGCTGAACGAACGCCTCACAGACCCAGACGAGCAGATGCAGAGAAACGTGGGCGGCATCTTCCCGCGGGACAACCCGAAGAACACACGCTTCGCCATCAACTTCTTCACTTCCATCGGTCTGGGTGGTCTCACGGACAGCTTGCGAGAGTACCTCAAAAACATGCCCCGGTTCATCATGGAGCAGCAGAAGCCGGTGGAGAGCAGCGACGACGAAAGCTCAGACAGCGAGAGCTCGTTGTCGGAACCATCATCTTCGTCTTCAAGCGAATCCGAGTCCGAGTCCGACTCCGACAGCAGCGGCGACGAGAGGAGTAAAAAGAGGAGGAAGAAGTAGCAAAACAATGGCAGGACAAGCTCGGCGCTCTCGAAGAACACTCCAACGTTTTGACACACTGTAAGTGGCGGAAGTGCTCATCGTTTGCTTTCTAATCGAGATTGTGTGCCAGGAACTCTAAAGCTTTGCTTGTAAAACAGGAACTCTAGAACTCGACTGTCTTGTAAACTCACTATTGAGGTATCCAAAAGAATTTTATCAAAATATCCAACGTGGATATTCTAGCATATCCTATGTAAACGTGGCGGTTTACGTGTCATCTGACGTGGCCCCTACACTGATTTGCTTTAGGTCGGAGGGAGAGAGGGCGGCCGAGCGCCTGCAAGGGCAGGGGCCAGGAGCTTGGATGCGATGGCCAGATTTCTTCTCCTTCATTTCCACAGCGCCGCGGAGGATTGGTGGTACACTCTCAACGAGTCCAAGGCATGGCAGAATCGATTCTACTACTCGCTCTCCGGCGCCTATCTCCTTGTAGCTCTCGTCGCCCTGGTATGGAATCCGACTAGTTTTCTGGTCTTTTCTATTGATTCTTGGGGAATCGTGGCGATTTCTCTCGCAGATACAACTCATCCGGATCGAGATTCGCGTCCCCGAGTATGGCTGGACCACGCAGAAGGTCTTCCATTTGCTGAATTTCCTTGTAAATGGAGGTGAGATTCTTCCATCTTAGAACTTTGGATTGATCTCTTCGTTTGCTAGTCCGAGCTGTGGTGTTCTTCTTCCGGCGCCAAGTCCAGTTCCTTGAGCCCCGGGTGAGGAATTGAAGTCTTTTGGAGTTTCTCTAAACGATCTCTTCCTTTTTCTCTACTGCTTTATGTAGATTTTACAATCACTTCTTCTGGATTTACCCGGACTCTTGTTCTTCACGACGTACACTTTGCTAGTACTCTTCTGGGCTGAGATTTATCACCAGGTAAATCTAGGCTAGAGATCTTGATTGCTTGGGTGATTGATAGTCTCTTTCCTTGCGGAATCTTGGATTTTGTCCAGGCTCGGAGCCTTCCGACGGATAACCTGAGACCAACCTTTGTGGTGATCAATACCATCATCTACACAATCCAGGTTCGCTTTTCTTTCCTTTTTTGCTCTCTGTTTTTTTCTCCTTCGATTCTTCCAGCCTGTAACTATTCAAGCTTTGATGTGTAGATCCTTGTGTGGCTGATTGTCTGGTGGAAGCCACTTGGCCTTCTCGAGAGCTTCTCCAAGATTTTCTTTGCCGGCGTGTCATTGGGTGCAGCGATCGGGTTTCTTCTCTACGGTGGAAGGTCGGTGTTGAGCTTTTGGTGACGGAGAGAAAGACTGTTTTGTTTCCAGGCTGTTCTTGATGCTACAAAGATTTCCCATCGAATCAAAGGGCCGCAGGAAAAAGCTGCGTGAGGTAATTACATCAGTCTCTTTCACGGCATCTTATCCTACTCAGCTGTTTTGTAGGTCGGCCTTGTGACTGCTATATGCTTCACTTGCTTTACAATCAGATCCGGAATTGTAAGAGAAACTCCTCTTTTTCCCTCTTTTTCTTAAGGATGAGTTTGCCAACTAATCTCTCACCAGATGGCGTGGGCTGCATTTGACAAGCGTGGAGATTTAGATGTGTTGGATCATCCAGTTTTGGACACCGTTGTCTACCTAGTAAGCTTCTAAAGAAGAAAACGATGGATGTTCTAACACTTTTGCGTGTCTTCCAGCTTGTGGAGATTCTTCCCTCGGCGTTGGTTCTCTATATATTGAGGAAGCTCCCCCCAAACAGACCAGGTCCTCCTGGTTACGAACCAATCCCATCAACAATTCGAACAGGGTAGGAGTATTCTTCTTTTTGCATCTTCTTTATCTTGTGTTGAGTGGACGGTTCTTGGTTGAAGAGTAATAACGTAGTATCTGGCATGTACAGTACTCCTGTAATTTTATGCTACCAGGTCTCACTAGTTGTTTATGCTACCAGGTCTCACTAAATACCTTGATCAAAATTATGTGTGATCTTAATGCCTAAGCAATAATGTATAGAGCCTTGACCATGTCAAAAGGTGTGCTTAAGTGGGACTTAACATTAGCAAAAAAAATCAAGCTATTCATCATGAGAATTGTATTATCAATATAAAGAACAATAATCACAAAGAAGGGTGGTGTCCCTTTCAAAAAAAGATTTGAATCTGCACTTAGCTTGAAACTCTTCTCTATATAAATAAAAATCGATATTATAAAATCAAGTATATACCACTTGTTTTAGTCTATAAAATGAACATTGAAGCTTACATACTAAATCTTGGTAGAGGTAACATATCCTTCTGGTTGTTTCATATATAGATCTCCTTTTGTAAATCACCATTGAAAAACATTATCTTCACATCTATCTGATGAATGTCATAATCAAATTCAATAGCTAGAGCAAGAAATATATGAATAATAGTACTTCAAGCCACTAAAGAGAATGTATCTTGGAAATCCATACCAGCAACTTGTGAATATCCTTTTACAACTAACTGAGCTTTAAACTTGTCAATAAAATTGTCAGAATGTGTTTTAACTTTAAAAACCCATTTCCATTTGATAGCTTCTCATTGTGAAGAAAATGAATTAGTTGCCAAGTACTTTTGATGAGTACAATATTATAAATGAACAGAACAAAAAAAAAAAAAAAGAGGAAAATACCTTTTGGCTATCAAAAAATAGTATTTGGAATCACAAACACTTATCAGAATGAGGTCTATATGTGATATAAAAAAAACTTGTAAGTGTAAATTTTACATCAGGTGCTAGAGAGGAATAAAAAGGTAATAGTTATCTACAAGATAGCTTGGTGGATGGCCTTTTAAATTTTAGTGTGGTCAAACTATAGTAGTGCTATTTGAAGGAGGTATGTTGTTGCACCTTGAACAAGAAAGATAATTCAAAAGATAATTCTCTAGTGCAATTGGAATCTCAGCTAAAGAATCATCATAATTCATTCAAGTAACATGGTATCAAAGCAAAGATTCAATTAGTCAACCTAGGGCTAGGAATTTATATAATTTTCAATCATTTTATTTATGTCCAAGTGACTATGTTTGTGAACACTTTGTGATGATGCAGATTTTTTTAGGGTGGATGTGATAGCCTTTGTTTAGTTGAAGTGACTACTAGTGCTCATACTTTGGGACATGTTCATGAATATTATCATTATTTTGTAAACTCTTGAATTTCAACTTCTCATGAGGTTATTTAGCCCATAGTACTATTATAAACCTTATGCCTCATATTACTTGCTACTTCTAGAAACCCTTGACACTGTATCATGTTTGCCTTCCTAATGCATATTTATGGATGGGGATACCCATCAATAGATAACCTTGCTAAAGCCAGCTTCAAAAGTTTTGGATCAGAAAAAATGCATTTCACAATTTGTGAACACTTGAGTCATGTAAGACCACATAGTATTGGATGATGACATATCAAAATAAACCTTCCAAATTGAATTTGCATAACTTTTTAAAAATCCTACAAAAGGATTTTTAGGAATACAATTGGATGTGTCCTAGAGCTAGGAGTTGCCAATCCATGGCAATGATAGAGAGACTGTTGCCACAATTCATACAAAAAGTTAAATATGAACTAGCCATCATTGCAACTTTCAATCCAATGCCCCACTGGGAGAATTAGAGAGAAAAACCTTTCTTCCTAAATCTTAGTTGGGCACAAAAGAAGGATAGAGTCAAGGCTAATTATAGTCTATAAATAAGCTTTTTGATGTTAGGGTTTTATTTTTGGGGAAGGGCTAGTGTTGAGTGTGGCTTTGTGTGTGCTCTCTTTGACTGCAACATGATTTTGTACATAGCTATGTTATGGTGTGTGCCTCTACTAAGTGGATTCCCTATTTAATTGGTAGTTCATCCACACTTTATCAAATGCAAAAAACCTAATTAATCTCTGCATCTATATGTACAATTCAAGCTGAGAAAGAAGAGTTATAGGAAACTCATTATTATTGTGGCTTTTATACCACTTATTTTTCCCTAACCTTGACCATGACAATAAGGAGATGATGTGGTTATAAACAACCAAAGAGAATGATTTAAGAGAATCTATAAATTTCAATTATAGAGAGAAAGGGGCCATAAACAATAAGTGCATCCTTTTTTCAAATCAATTAAGGGTTTTGGAATATTTGGGGTTAAATGTAGGTGACCTTTCGGAAAGTCCAAAATCAAAAGATTACAAATTTATCTAACACTTTTTTTATTGCACAATCTCATTGGTACTTGTTTATCTTTCTTATCATAATGAGTATGGAAATTTCAAATAATTTGAAATTGCTACACTAACATAATGAAATCATGGTTGAAGAGCTTCATATTCATAGATCTTTTGAGATTGCGAACTATTGGATGTGAACTAGTATAATATGGTCATGGCTAAAGAGCTGTGAGTGTAGAATAATTGTAATGTTGTGGTGAGACAAATTGTATATACACACTAGAAGACTTAAAATGAACATACTATGAAACCTATATATAAAAGGAAAAATGAAAGGGTATGGACAATGAAGTCAGAGTCTTCTCTAAAAAATCATAAACTTCAATATAGAGTATTAGCATTGTGGCAGATAGCATAAAGAATGCAATAAGCATTTAAAGAAATATTAAATCTAAACAAGATCATAATAATAGAAAGTTAGAGTTGAAAATAATCAAAATTAAATCTAAAGAAAAAGAAAGAATAGATAGCATAAACAAAAGGGAGAATACTACTGAAAATCATTCTAATTCTTGAAAAAAAAAATACTTCATTAAATTATAATAATAATAATTCTAAATATTATTAAAAATTATACTAAGAAAAAAAAATTGATGTTTTCCATTCCCATAAAATAGTATTTGGAAATTTCTCTGAATAAAGTTTTAGTTTAAAATTATTAAAAACACTAAACAATGTTAGTAATACACAACCATTACTAGTTTTACAATTAGTATTAGTTTCCCATAAAGAGTTTTTACCAGAGTATAAAACTAAATTACCATCTAATTGTAATAATAAAAAACAGTTAGAAAGCCTATATCTTGAAGTATTTGAATTCCAAATTAATATCTGTTGTGAGTAAAAAACTAGATTACACTTTAAATCTAAATATAAAATATTTTTACCATTTGAAGAAATTAAAAAATTTTCTGGATATAAAATTGATGTTGAGAATAAAGTACTACTTCGTAAAAAACATTTCTTATAAACATCATAATAGATATTATAGTTTTTGTTT